GGCGTGAGCTGGCGCATTGTCGTGGTGGAAGAGGACTTTTTTGTGGGCCAATCGTGGACGTTTCTCTAGCAATTCGGTTTCCAAACGATCCAATAACGATGAATAATATTCGCCTGTAATGGTTTTACCCTTTTCCAGATAGTCGATGAAGATTATTCCTTGTGAATCCCAAAAAACAGTCGCCATAACCTTCCCGGCCGAAGGAATTGTCTTCGCCTTTTTCGGAGCAGATTCCCCCTTGGTAACCCATTGTTTAGGCTATTCTTTCGTTTCAGTGTAGTGATGTATCCATGTTTAATCTACAATAATGAAACGACGCTTAAAGTCTTGCGAATTTTGCTGGAACAGCTGCAAACCATTCTTACAACACTTCACACAATCTCGTTTTTGGTCAATCGTAAGCAATCGTGGCACCCATCTAGCGGATAGCTTTTTCATGTCCAAATGTTGATGCAAAATATTATGTACCTGTGCGCTCGAGATGCCTACAGTACTAGCAATCTCACGCACCTTCACTCTTCTGTCAGCCATCACCATATCATGGATTTTATCAATGATTTCTGAAGTGGTAACCTCAACAGGGCGTCCAGAACGTTCAGCGTCTTTTGTCCTCATATGGCCACTCCGAAAATTTTGAAACCATTTATAAACCATTCTAATCGAAGGTGCACAATCACCATAATGTTTATCAAGCTTCTGTTTAATCTCACTCACACCTAAGATAGATCGAGTGTCACAAGTCAGATGAGTTAAGGTAAGTTCAATTCTGTTGGAAAGAAGACATCGGAACGAAAGTATCAATCGTAAAGGCGAATACACGTATACTCATACGGGTTTAACAGAGCGGCGGTTAGCTCTGCATCGTGGGAGTTTGTTCTTTAATAAACCCATTTTGTACCAGCTAATCCACCCTATTACAATATGTGTGTGTGTGTGTATTCTGATATATTTTGTCATCCGTAGTATGTAAGTTTCCTTTAAAAAATCCAGTCTATGTACAGATAACTTTTTTACCTCTTTAGGCAGTTACAATTTCTTGCGTTCGAAATTGTAAGAATAAGATTAACGAACTTTATTACTGATTTATCTTTAAAAACTTCACTCTTTCATAAATCATACGACAAAGAATTAATTCGATATCTTTTCAATATATGTTCAATAAACTTATATATTTCGCGAGAGTAGCTTCGTTGGCAAGATTGTAGATGATGCAACAAGTGTAACTTTGTTTGCGTACCTCTCACATATACATCAACAAAAAAATCTATTAGCTAATAATTATTGATTCACAAATGGTTTAACATGATAAACTAATGAATTTTACAAGAGCAGCTTCGTTGGCAAGGCCATAGAAGTGGTTCATACGGGATACAACGAGCTGAACTTAGTCCGCGTGTCTCTCGCATGTATATATACAATAAAAAATACTCGTTACTAAATAAGTGTTGGTTGATAAAACGTTGAGCACGAAAAACTTATAAATTTCGTATGAGCAGCTTGTGTGATAGTAGAATTGGTAGATAGGAAGTAGAATTGGTTGATAGGAGATGCGACAAGCGAAGCTTTATTCGCTTGACTCTTAAATGTATATCTACAATAAAAAATGTCCATCTGATAGAATATATGTCTGATAGAATATATGATAGAAATTAGATTATTGGGTTATTGGGTTGTTTGGAAAGAACATACAATAAAATTAGATTGTTGATTTTGACATAGACTGCCGCTCACATAAACTCGCCACCCCATCAAAAATCTGTCAAACTTTGAAGTTTTGTACCTCTATAAGGAATCAACCGATCTTAAAAATTCAAAGTACGTTTTGAAGCTTGTACCAAACCCTTCAATATATGATAAAAATATTTACAAAAATAATGTTTAATTAATTTTTTTATAAACAAATGAAAAAAAAATTTTTTTCATCCATTTTCAAATTGGCATAACTTTGTTAAAAATAATCGGATTAAAAAAAAACGAAATGGAGGTTAAAGCTATGGTACTCCTCTTTAAAATGCGCTATGTAGAATTTCGGTTCATTTATTTTTTAAGGAATTTTTTAATTTTATGTAAAAAAAATCATATTTTTTTCAACAGCTCATAACTCAAAAACTATGAGTCAAACTAAAAAAATCATAAGAGCAAAAATTATGCGTTATTATTCAACTAATACGAATTCGACGTAAAATATTCAAATTTAAAAAAAATTTTTTTTTTACCAGGAAAAAAAAATTTTTATTTACAATTATTTATTAAACTTTTAGTGAAATATAATATAATGAGTTATACGAATTGTATACGTAGTATTGATTAAAATAAATAATGGATATTTTTTACAATCGGTATACAATCTACTTTATAATGGTATCGTACCTATGATAATAGTAACCTTGATATAAAAGTAAAGACTATAAGTTTTGCGGGATTTCTGGGCCGCAATACACTGCTATGTATATGCGAAACAGTGTCCTGTGTTTACAAAAATCAATACTACGTATAAAAGTCATATAACTCATTATATAATATTTCACTAAAAGTTTAATAAATAAGTGTAAATAAAAATCTTGTTTTCCTGGTAAAAAAAAATTATTTTTTAAATTTGAATATTTTACGTTGAATTCGTATTGGTTGAGTAAAAATGCATAATTTTTGCTCTTATGATTTTTTTAGTTTGACTCATAGTTTTTGAGTTATGAGCTGTTGAAAAAAATGTGATTTTTTTCCATAAAATTAAAAAATTCCCTAAAAAATAAATGAACCGAAATTCTGCATAGCGCATTTTAAAAAGAAGTACCATAACTTTAACCTCCATTTCGTTTTTTTTTAATCCGATTATTTTTAACAAAGTTATGCCAATTTGAAACTGGACGAAAAAAATTTTTTTTTCTTTTGTTTATAAAAAATTAATTAAACATTATTTTTGTAAATATTTTTATCATATATTGAAGGGTTTGGTACAAGCTTCAAAACGTACTTTGAATTTTTAAGATCGGTTGATTCCTTATAGAGGTACAAAACTTCAAAATTTGACAGATTTTTGATGGGGTGGCCAGTTTATGTGAGCGGCAGTGTATATATTAATAATTTTGAAAAAGTAAGAGGGGTGCGATTAAAACGAGCAAGGGTTCAATTCTTTTGCCTTGTTTCTTTGCAAAAATATTAAGTATTAACAAAGATGTCGCAGTTGCAAAAAACGATAAAATTATCATAGTTTTTTTTTGGGACTACTAAAGGGGTTCAATTAAAATAATGAGCATTTTTGGAGGGTTCAATTAGAAATAATTCGAAAGATTTTGTTTTTTTTCACTGTCCATTACACTTTGCAGGCTGGGGTAAGGGGGGTGTCTGAGGTATCGATAGAGTTTTTACATTCCGCATATTTGAAATCTTTAAATATTTATGTAGAAAAATAAGAAAACAGTAAAAATAAAATAAAACTTTTAAAAATCCTAAGATGATAGCATTTAAATATATGTGTTTTATCTTTTTCCAAGAAAAAAGGCTACAATTAGAAGAAATATCATAAGATTACTGAGTGCACTTAGCTCAGCTGAAATATTATTGCTTTATTTGTCTCTTTTGAATAAAGAGAAAAATAAAGCAAAACAAAATATTCAAAGGTAACAGAAAAAATGATAGAAGAAAATAAGGGAAAAATATTGTTACAAAATGAGAAAAAAGTAAAAGTAATAAAAAAGGGAAGATTAATAAATTAAATGCAAAACATAGAACCAATAGTAGAGAGAATCAAAAGAGAGTACATCGATGAGTATGAGAAAAAAGAAGAAAATAATACAAAATTAATAAATGAAAATGAAAATTGCTTGTGGTGAAAAAAGAAAATCAATTTGAAGACAATCCATGTATTTGATAAGAACAAATTCCCTCGTATTATTTAGATTAACTATATTATTTTCAAATTATATTTATTCAAAATTACTGTAAATAATCGAAACAAAATTTAATCATTATCAATAATTAATTAACATACAATATTTAAATAGCAAAAAATAATAAAATATTGTAAATAAATTATCATAGCCATGTAATGGAAAAGTAATAGACTAGTAATAATTCAACCAGCGGATAACTAGAAAATTGAATTCGTTTGTTAATTAGTTAAAAATTATATTAAAGAAATCTAATGGTTTCCAAATAAGTATGCTTTTGTATCATATAATTTTTAAATATTAAGTGGATTTGTATATTTATTTAATTTATTTCAGATAATGCAATTAAGTAAGCCTTATACTGCTGAGGACAGGAACATTCACCATATATTGTAAATATGGTACCATTATTTTTATAAAATTGATTTATGGATTTACATCCAATTGCTTAAAATCCGAAAGGAACATTTTATATCTTAGGAAAAATTTTTTTTTACATCATCCTGAAATCAGAATTATCATATGGAATTATTATAAATGAATAAATGAATAAATAAAAAAAGGTCTCACATTCTACTTAAAATATATTAAGGTAATTTCATTAAATATTAGGAGAATTTGTATAATTATTAACACAACAAAACACTAATCCTATATTGTAAATATACCCTGTATTGTAATCTATCAACCTTATTTTTACAAGGTTGATTTATATATAATTATATATGAATCATTACATACATGATTTATATTAAGATATAAAATCATGTACGTAATAAGTATACTTTGTAATACTTAATTCACTGATTAAACCATAATTATTAAATTCAATCTTATAATATACCATTATTAACATTAAAATTTATTATTCAATGTAACTTGGTAATAATTATTAGATGATTCATGTGAACTCCACGAATATCTCAAAGTAATTAATTTACTGTGAAATAAAAATTTAAATCATCATTCAATATAGTATATAGATTCTGTATAGATTCAATATAGATTCTATATAATCATAATTCAAATATTTTGCAAGTGTCTAATTAAGAAAAATGGCTACTGTATTATTTACAAAAGTATGTTATAATATATATATATATAAGTATTTACTTTTGCCAAATTTAAATTTGCAAACATTAAATTCTGATAACTATTTAAAAATATTGTATATTGTATATGAAATTAAATTAAATAAACAGACAGAAAATACATTATAATCATATGCACTACACAAAAAAGACATACTTGCTTTTTATTCGCTTCAATAATATATTTGATAGAATCATAACTTTAAGTAAGACTTAGACTTTATAATTAAGAGAAAATTATTTATTGTTAGACTAAAATATCTCTGAAGTTTGAATCGTTAATTCGTTTCCATGCCATACCCAGATCAGACCAGAAAAATGATCCAAACTACAAAACAAAAATAGTTTTTAATTTAAGTGATTTTGCTCAGTTACTCTATATATTCCAAATAATTTACCCCATTTGCATAGGAAGAAAAATAATTATGCAAGACGAAAAGTTACGTATTAACTTTTGTTTAACTAAAGATCAGTAAAAAAATGAGTATAAAAATATAAAAGTTTTAAAAAATTGCTCACTACTCAAGCTAATTTACTCTGATATGAAATTAGAAAAAAAAAATGTTTATTATAAAAGAATGGAAATAACTTAATTAATATTCAATTACAGGGAATTATTCTTTGCGCGTGCGCGTTATAATCTAGGTTGCCTATTCACTATGTGCGTAACACCACGGCGTCATTTGGTAACGGGAAATGATTGAGTAGATAAAGATGGCATGGAAGGAGGCGCTGAACAAAATCACAAAAAATGTTTTTTTTAAGTGCTTCCAGGATTTTCCAGAAAAAAACTTTAGCACAAGTGCATTATATCCGAGTGGGATTACTTTGAAGGAGATAAAATGGATATTCATCAATAAATAAATAATTTTTGAAAACATACAAAATTCGCGATACTTTTTGACCAGACCTCTTAGTTTTTATTAGTGTCTGTTGTAAAGACCGGCAATGTATAAGTTTTATAACTTATTGAAATCTGATTTGCTACATGTCAAAATATACTTTCTTTATTTTAAAGTTAAGATGCTTTTATAGTAGTAGGGGCTAAGGAGATCCTAAGCCACTTACAATGCGATTTTTCGATGCCTACTCTACCGACGATCAGTAACGTTATAAATCCTCATATTGGCGATCTATGAGCTGCTTTATCGACCGATATATATCGACCTGCTTGACGTGAATCGTTTGCGACCGACTGTGTACCGACGTGCAGACCCCATGGGCTCCGCCGACACTTACCGACTCTTGTATCAACGTGCAGATTCCATGCCCTCCCGCCGGCAGTTACCGACTCTTGTATCGACGTGCGTTATCCCGGCCCCATGCCCCATGCCCCTTGTTCCATGCCAAAATAAAAAATGTTTGCTTTATGTTGATTGATTGTGATTGAGTAGAATGTATAGGTGGGAGTTTCATGATCTCAGTCAAAATGAATGAAAAAATATGTAGGTCTGTGTAAGCATAAAAGCTTTTTTATTATCATATTTCAATTCTCTATATAAATTCAATCAAACATCCACCGAGAGATTTTAATTTTATATCCCGCTCTGTCACTTCTTTCATAAAATTCTCATATAAAGATTCGTTCTGGACGATAAATTCGTTGACTTTATTGGGAAGAAAAATATCAAATGATGCATCCAATTCTAGAACGATCTTCACACCATATTTAGTGTTTACTTTTTTCATGCCGGTGATAGCATAGAGAATATTTTGCTCCAAATCTTTAAGTTTTTTTGTGGGTAAAAAGCTTGGAGTTTTTGCAACTAGGTTGATAGCGTCCATGGTGTTGGATCTGTGAACCGATCAAAGGAAGAAAAAACGTAAGTTATATGTATTACAAAATAACGTATTGAATATTTAAGTATTGTAGTTATAAAGTCAACATTTTTACATACATATTGTTTTTAATATTGAATGAATATAATTATGTTTGATACTACACACGATGTAGAAAACTGAATGAATGCTCACCTTATCAATGCTATAACCTTGTCCCCACTCCTAGTTCATGGCGTCATACCCCTCCTCTTCATTCTGTAAAGATAATCTATCTATCACATCAAAATACATTTCATCGTCACTATTGGATGCTAAAGTCACTGAAGTACTTTCTGATATATAATATTCTTCATCAATATAAGCATCGTCGTTGTCGTCGTCAGAAATGTTACTCTGCGATGACAAGATTTGTTCTTCCTCATCATCAGTGTCTGACGGCATATGTTGTAAATGAAAATAAGGTTTTAGTCATCTTTTAAGTGCCATCACATTTTCAAGTACACAATTTTCTGACCAACCAGGTTGATGATAAGAACAGTCAACGGGTCTTCGAAATCCTAGTTCGTGTAAAGAAGGACAACCCATTTCTTATAAATCAAATACGTGATCCACGTATCGCGAGAGCCACTCTACCTTCTGCCGTACCTTAACATAGATTCTGACTGAATCATCGTCAGAAGCTGAACGACCTAAGTTCTCTATAATTTGAGGATGCTGATCGTACAGTATATTGCTTGCATTCCAATCGATTCCATGGAAGTTTTGCATGAGCCAGGAGTTCTCTTTTTTCGAATGACTGGAAAGATCTTCCCAAGGACATGGTGGTGAAAAAATAAAATGAGATGGTGTCAAATGGTCATTGTTGAGATTGATGACTGCAAGCTCTTTGAACACTGGTTCATCATTTAACTTGAAAGCTTGTACGTCAACGACAATTTCCATAGCGAATTTACAATGAAATAGCGGAAAAAATTAGTCTTTTTTATGAAATGAAGAGTTAGAGTATGTATTGAATTTTTTTCTTACTGTATAAAAGGTAGACAACGTGCCATGATTAATATGCTCAATCGAATGAATTAATGATTAATAAGCCAATGAAATTTATATATTTTTCCCCCACTCAATCTGTAACCCCTACTACAGAGCTTGGTTATATCCTTTTTTACGCATGAAAACAAGAAAAAAAATCCAAGTTCTTATTATAGTGCTCGTTGTGATAAGTAGTACAGCGCTAGTTACTCTGCGCGCGCATAATACAAAGTCCTCTGGTTATGCGCGAATCAGTCAACTTCTGCGCGTAAGACAGCGTCCACAGCTATGTTCCTTTAAGAATGAAAAAAAAATTCTAAGTTCTCATTGTAGTGCTCGCTGTGATGACACACAAGTTCTGCACACCTTGCTGACGCATATGTCAGAGTTCATTTCAGTGACTAAGACCTCTTACGCTTAATGCGTATGCTGCTAAGTCCAGAGTTAGTCTACAGCGCTAATTCGGTATAGCGTAGCGGTTAAAAAGTCAATTAAATTTATATATATTTTTTTACCCATTCAGTCCATGACCCTACTACAGAGCTTGGCTATATCCTTTTTTACGCATGAAAATACATGAAAAAATCCAAGTTCTTATTATAGTGCTCATTGTGATAAGTAGTACAGCGCTAATCACCTTGCGCGCGCATAATACAAAGTTACTTTCAGTGCACGCTTTTCGTCGAAGCGACTAAGATCTTATTATATTTAACTCGTACGCAGTCAACTGACTTTACACGTAGGAGAGTCGATCTCGTATTCTGATGACTAAGTCCTCGCTCTACACCGCTCCCTGTGTTGACGAAGTACTACAACGTCAATCAGCTTGCGTGCGCGCTGAGTTCATATTTCATCTTAGCGACTAAGACCATATCGAATGCATCCGCAGCTTAACATATACACGGTAGAAAGAAAAAACTTAAGTACGCGCCTAAAAAACGTCAACCCAACCTTTCTATAGTAATACACTAATTCTATGCCCTGAGAATACAGCAAAGTCCCTTTAAATGCGTTTGAATGGCGCACCGCTAGTTAGTCGCGGCTAGGTCAGAATGGACTTAGTTCGTGCGCCAGCACTCGCCACTCATAAGAGAACTTAGTCGCGCGAATCTAATATAGTGTTAGCCGTAGAGCAGTATAGGCTGTGCTTCCCTTATATTACAAAAGCTCTCTATGTAGCTATGAGCCATGTGCTCATGTTTACATCCCCACCCTCTACACATACACATATTCATGAATTATTATAAATGAATGCACATCATGCGCACGTGTCAATTGATGGTTGAACAGCCTCATGTCTGCACCATATCGACTGTATGATCAGCGCGCTTAATTTGACTTTGAAAATTTTAAAAAGTTCATAAGCATTGGTACTTATAAATTAACAGTTGGATTACACCTTGATGATATAAGTATCAATGCACTCCATGTAATAGACTTTCTCTTGAAAATTTTTTGAAGTTCATGAGAAACTTCTAATTTGAAAAAAGGTAATTAATCTTATTAGGACTTTGCGCGTACATGCATAAAAATAAAAAGGTTTTAGTTGCGTGCGAGTATAACGCAGCAGGATCTGAGATCTGAATGACTCTGAGTGCAGCTACGCGCCATGAAGTAGCCTTTGACCTTCTATATATATGCTGCACACGCATACTCACACATGTTTGCACCAGTGCGAGCGCGTATAGTTTGAAACTCTATGTCATAAAAATTTGAGACGCTGCGCTATAGCTCGAGTATTCCAATATTTTCAAAACAAAAATAAAACACTCCATGTAGTTTAATTTGAAAGAAATATAAATTTAGCGTCAGTATAAAGTAATTTATTGTGCAGTTCAAACGTGTGTGAAAGATATAACGGGGGTTTGACCCGGCGCGGGTCACTTGTTATATAATTTACGAGGGAATTGGAAACAGCTCGGAGTGGGCCTCGTAATAGGCTGCGCAAAACCTAACCCAGCAGCAACAGGAACGTCGTCGTGCGGCGTCCGTTACCTTAGCCCGCAGAGAGCGTCGTGCAGTCCTATGGGCGCTTTGGAGCGATCACGAAATTCAGGTGCGAAAGCCGGACGGAACGGGATTGTTTACGATAGGTAAAAAAGGGAGGCGCAGAGGAAGAAAACAGATATATGAGCAGCATTGAGTTTACTACAGAGAATAGTACAGAGTTAGGACGCAGCGTAAGCGAGAGAGAGAGCGGCGAAAAGCTAGCGAGAGAGACACGTATTCGAGGTGGTACTTACAATGACGTCTCGGAGTCAGCCCAGGAGACGGCGTTCTCGGCCTCGCACGTGGCCCGCGAGGACGTGCAGTGCGCAACTCGAGTGCGGTAAAGAGGCG